TACCATAAGCTGGACACTAAATTAACTGCTATTGATAAAATAGTAAGCAAAGACTCAAACCTTGCCCTCCAACAAAGTAATTCTGTTATGTTCCTTTAAACATTTTTCTACTTGTTTTCTTGATTGTAAAATTCCTCCTAACCAACAAATCACTGGTTATAAATAAGCACCCTGTGCTATGGCCTGTTGCATAGGTAGCTACGAAGTTCTGTATCCCATTTCCAAATGATTGCCTTAGTCATTCCCTAGGGAATAAGAGATCATGGTATAAAAGGTGATTGATCCTGTTAACTGATCTTGCAGCAGGTAAAAAACTGATACCACAGGTCCAGTTTCAGGAGCTGACAGGAGGGTTTAGGGATGCTCCAAAGAGGGGCTTCTTCGCTACTTGTTTCACAGTGCCACAATCCTTTCTGTCACACTTGAATCGGTTCGTTTTTAGGCTTCATTATTTACTGTACTACTTTTTAAATAAAAGTATCAGCATTTGTGAGATTTTGGTTTTGAAGAATAGAGGAAGAAGGGAAATGCCAGAAACACATGAGTGTCCAGGCATTGACTTACCACTGAGAAACTTATCCTTAGAAAATAATTTAATAGAAAAACTAAAAACTGGGAGTACATTATCCACAATACTATTAAAAAGCAGAAAATAATACACATGTCCAATTAGATCTCCCTGAAAAATATGTTCTACCCCTGAAAAATAGTTAAGACTCTCTAGACAGATGAAAAACACAAACTAATGAAAGAAGCAAGACTCAGACTTGTCTAGAAACTATAATTACAGCTATGTAAACACAGACACTGGCCATGCTTTGGTTTATTTTTATTTTGAAAAATTATTGTGATGCTGAGGATAGGATTAGGCTGATTGACAGAGACCAACTAGGACCCACATTGAGATGGGAATTTTTGAAATCTACCCAAATAGGGGTTCTTCCTGGTGGCACAAGAGGTTAAGTCTCAGCACTATGAAGCTCTCCACTGCAGCCTGGTTTTATCGCCAGCCAGGTTGCTGATCCACATGGCACAGCAGACCTCTCCTGTCTCGTCTGCTGTTCCCCTTAGCAGTGTGTTTCATCTGCCTGTTCTTCTCCCCACTCTGTCTCTGGTGAATCCTCTCATCTCCTGCACCTCTGGCCTACACCCCAGTTCTTGTGTGCATAAATAAATATTTTAAAAATCAGACTTATAATAAAAATCCAGATTTTCAAATACTCTGTTAAATCAATGACCCATTAGTCTGTGTAAATAGCTACTTCTGTTTCGACAAAAACACCTTGTCACTTTGCTGACTTGTTACCTAAATACCACCCCAAGACATTGAAGTTTCTGACCCTGGCGAGTGAGCAATGACTCAGCTAAGGAATGAAATGTCTAAAATGAAGTAAACGCAATGTAGTAGATATTGTTGGCTGAAATAGTGAGCTTAGTAATTAGTGGTAATTAGACAAAGATTTTGTTAGCTAGTCAGTGTGAGGCCTGGAAAGCAGGAATACCCAGCCAGATTTGACTTTGATAGAACCGCCCCACTATTCACAAGCTTAAATGAGATTCTGTACTTTAGAAAAAGGCAATCGCCATTTTCTTACATCAAACAGTATAGTGATTGGACAAAGATTTCTGATTTCCAACTGTATCTTTTGAAGCATAAACTCTAGGATTTTGACTCAGGTGTTGCTGTGTCTCTACAGCAAAAGAGGCAAAACATCAGGGTAGTTAAACTCTATCCCACTGGGCCCTCCCTGGTGGGGCAACAGGTTAAAGAGCAGCACAGTGAAGCTGTCCACAGCCACTTAAGCATGAGTTCAATCCCAGGCCAGGGAGATGACCCAACATGGTGCAGCAGACCTCTCCTGACCCACCCACTGCTCCCCTCAGCAATGTGTTTCAACATATCTGCCTGTTCTGCTCCCACTCTGTCTCTGGTGAATCCTCTCACACTGCACCTCTAGCCTGTACCCAAGTTCTTCTCTAGCCTGTACCCAAGTTCTTGTATGCATAAATAAATAAATCTTTAAAAAATAAATAAAATGATCTGTTTATAAAAAAATTAACTCTACACTACCTCTGCTTACAAGAGTCTTGTGTTGATCTTTCTGTAACTGCCTCTGGTCAGTAAAAGATGTGGAGAAGTTGATTTCATTTTCTCAAACACATGGACTTCTTTTTTTTTTTTTTGTATGACTTTTCATAGAAAAGGGCCAGTCAATTCTGACTCTAGTCTGTGCATAGACTTTCAGCTTCTTTCCAGTCTGTCAGAACAAAGAAAGGGGTCCCCAAATGTACTTTCAGTTCTTTATGTAGTTGTGAAGATAAATCACTAAGACATCCTGATGAGATAGGGGTTGTTTAGTAAAAAAAAGCAAGATGAAGAACCATAGGATACCATTTCTGTAAACAGTAAATTATGTATTGCAATAGATACACTTGAATGGAAACTATGAAGTAATTATTCTTTTTTTATTGCTTTGTGCCTAGAACAGTATGTGCACACACTGAATTACTGTTGAATTTTGTTGAGTACATAGGCATAGGTGTATAAGAGGATGGATACACAGTAAGTGTCAAGGTGCGAGATGGTGGTTCATTTTTTTGGTGTAGTTTTACTCTTATAAAGTATATAATAGTCCATTACTAGAAGAATTTTTTTTAATTAAAGGTAACCCAGTATAAAATACAATAGGTGATCCATTCAGTATTCAACATTAGTCTCAGCTGAAACCATTCAGAGAAAAATGAATGAGACTAAAGTTCAATTTATGGGCAACAAAAAACTAACTCAAAATATTTAACCATCAACTCAGTATAAATCAACAGGTTGGTGAGTCAGCTAAAGAAATGAGGAAGTGAAGTGATGTATTGGGGCTCCATCTACAAGCAGTCTTCCCTGGTTGGTATCATATCTTCGTATAGATTTCAAATATGTATCTACAAGTTCATGAAGGCATGTGTACAATGTATGAGGAGGTGCCTCCCTTGATAAATTCTTTAAAAAGGAGAAGACACAGAGCAGCAAGGGCAAAGAAAAGAGCTTTAAGGTCAGTGTCTAGAGATCTGACATTTCCCTTCAAAGAATAGGCCTGGCTCAACTAGTCAGGTTCGGAGGCATCAAGGTCAGACTGATATGGGTGGAGTCAGAGGTGTTCAGAGCCTAGGAGTACACCACAGACGATGCCGGTGCTGTTTGGAAGTGGGTCATCTCACACCGGGCTAAACTACCATTAAATTGTCTTCAGTCTCAAGGTTTGTAGTCAAGAAACTGTTGTTGCTCCTAGGATGTTCGGAGCTGTCCCAGAAAGCAAGAGCAAAGACAAATGTGGGCTACCTATGCGATGGAAGATGCTCGAATGGCTCCAACGATTTCAATAGTGTGTCAGGCTGAAAGCAAAGTCGTCTGTCCACCACTAGGGCAGTGTATGAGCCCGTTTCAGTGTGACACCTGGACTGCCTGGACGCCCGCGGGACAGGGAGCCGGCCGTGCCGAGCTCTCTCCGGGCCCTGGGGCTGCTCGGCGGGTTTCACCACACCGTAATTCTCGCCCACGCCAAGCTCAAGCGCTCTTTTTGTAAGACTTCTAGCCACCGCGCTGTGAAGTGGGACATGCCAGCATCCCAGCTGGGGATTCCGATGGCGGGTCGCGACCCTGCTCCAGCACTTCCGCCCGAACTCGGGCTGGACGCTAGCGTCGCGTGTGACGTCACCGGACCGCCGGAAGTCTAGCGCGCCTCCGGGGCGCCGGCGCAGTGCTGGTGGCAGTTGACTGATGTCTAGGGTAAGGCGAGCTCCCTGATAAAGCTCCCTCCGCAGAGCTCCCGGCTACCCAGGCTGATCGAGGATGTTCGTTTCCCTGCCCGGCCGCCCCTCCCCTTTGTGTGTGGGGCTATACTCCCATCTCCACCCCTCCCGAGGCCCCGGCACCCTCTGTGTCTCCTCCAAACTTGCTCCCCTCCTTCCCGTGGGTCCGGACAGGTACACATACCTGGACCCTCCTAATAGTCGGGGAAGCCCTGATATCAAGTCGCCAGCATGGACACCTCAGGGTTAGGAATAGACATCGGAACCCAAAGCTCTCGGCGTGTTTCTTCCTTACTAGCCGATTCTCTCTAGAAAATAGGACTTTTCATCCCCGTGGACTTAGCATCTCCTCCACCCCCATTTTCTGTCGCTCGCCTACGGTATTCTGCCTCTAGCCTACTGTGTGAGTTTTATGTGGAGTTGTGTGAGTTTTATGTGGAGTTGATCTGCACAGCCAGAGCCATCTCATGGGTGAACCCTGTCCTCTGCGGCTTTGGGTACTGTACACCTTTTGTGCCGGGCGCGCACTCCAGCATGAGAGAAGATGCCGTTTGAATTCTCCGTGAAGGTTAGGAAGAGAAATCCCAGCTCTGCGGGCTGACTAATTATCCAAACAAGAGAAGTGTGTAGGCTGGGAACCTCGAATCACCTCATGAGAATTGCTGCTCTTTGTTTCCTCTGTTATAGCTCTTGAATAGTTTCTGGTTTAGTTATCTCTGTTGGAATTCCAGCCCAGAGTCATTTTTGTAAAGGCCCAAAGTAACCATTTCCAGTTTCTTAACACAGACCTGTGCTTTCACTTGCAGGTTTCCGTGGGTGACCCTTAACACAGACCTGTGTTTTCACGCGCAGGTTTCCGTGGGTGACCCTTAATGATTGTTACTTCCTGGAGGGACGCTTCATAAGACAGGTTGCCTGATTCTGGGCGTGGGCCCCTGATTGCTTTTGCTTGTTACAATAGTATTGTCATCAGATTCTTTTGGGTACTTTCTGTATCTGTGTGAATACTTATATATAAGAAATGAATACTTGTGCAGGAAGGGGGAGGGAAGGAACATGCATTTTGCATATTTACCACTTTATTTTGGAATTTACAGGCAGTTTATGCTCCCAAGCCAAGCACAGGTGAAGGAGAGATTGCTCAGGACCGACTGGGAAGTCTCATGGAGCTGCAGTGTGCTCTTGCTTGCCAATGAATTCTGTTTTGGAGCTATTTGTGTAGTTGATGTCTGAGAATATCACCGTGGAATAAATTTCCCTATAGTAGTAGTCACACTGTTTCTGTTACTTTGTAGCCCCAGGATGGACTTTCTGGTTCTCTTCCTGTTTTACCTGGCTTTGTTGCTGATTGGTGTTGTTATGATCTGCTTCTGCCCAGAAATCCATTATGTGAAGGGCCTGGTCAGGGGAAGAACACAGGTAATGACAATGCTCAGAGACTGGGGGATTTTAAACACCTCCAGTCTAAAAGGTCACCCACTTTCTAACAAGAAAAAGGAGATGCCATTTTATTCATTTGTTCATTTGTTTTTTCATTTATAGCAGTTATGGTACAGGCACCTAAGCTATTGTGGATTGGGTACCAGACCCCCACAGTAGAGTAAATATCACAAAGAGTGAGTCATACAAGTTTTTGGTTTCCCAGTGCATGTAGAAGTTTATGCTGTCCTATAGCCTATGAAGTGTTCAGCAATGTACATGTTTTAGTTAAATATACCACAAAGACACAAAGTGAGCCCTTGCTGGAAAAATGGCTTCCACAGACTTATTTAATGCAGCCCTGCATTAAATATTAATGCAGCCCTGCATTAAATAAGATATTGTAGAAAACAATATCTGCAAAGTGCAGTAATGCAAAGCCTAGTAAAGTGAGGTATGCCTGTGTATTCGAGAATCTTTTTTTCTGTGTGTGTATGGGGGGGTGAGGGGTTTTATTATTCTTGAGAGTAATCTTGTGATGATGCTTTGGGAGAAGATGCATTCTTAGTTTTAGCTATTTTGTCTCTGGATTTGATGCCTACCTTTGGGCATGGAAGTGAGTACTATCTGCCCGGAGGGAGCACATGGGTGCAGCTGGGGGACATGTGAGCAGAAAGGTCGGCATTGAGCAACCCATACTTTTTCAGGGATCAACATGAGCAAAATTGGGGTGAGCAGCTCTTGGGAAAGAGATGACTAAGGAGGGACTGGGGCTAGTGATCTGCAGAAGGACTCTGGAACCCAGAATGAACTCAAGAGAGGGAAAGGTGTGGCATTAACATTCACATTACCTGCCCATCCCTGCTACTCACCTCCCTTTGACTGAAGACCTTGACTTGGGGGCCAAGGAGAGGCTCCTGAGGGAAGCCCTCCTCTCTTTTCTCTCTTAAATCTCTTCTTGGGCCACATGCAGAAACACAGTATCACCAATGTTACCAACTGAACATGTAGCATCTAATTTGTTTCAGAGTAGGGAAATGTGAAATGAAACTGAGTCTTTTTTTTCCTTGTTTCAGATATTTTCCTGTATAGTTTCAGAATGCGTTCAGCGAGCCATCCTAGAACTGCTTCATTACCTCTTCCATACACGGTAGCTCTATCTCAACATTTAAATATTACCTCCTTTTCTGTCAGATTGTTCTTTGTTGTCCTCTGGCTTCAGATACCTCCTGTGGTTTCCTGCATGGTATCGGGAAGAAAGCTAGAAAGGATTAAGCTGGGTTCAAAAACCTCTACTCAGATATAATCTGCATTAATGTCTGATATCTTGTATTTTTAAATATGTGTGTTGTTTTTTTTTAAAGATTTATTTATTTGTGCATACAGAGCTGGGGTGCAGGCCAGAGGCTCAGGGGCGGTGAGAGGCTTCACCAGAGACAGAGTGGGGAGCAGAGCAGGCAGATTTACGAAGTACACTGCTGAGGGGAGCAGCGGGCGGGTCAGGAGAGGTCTGCCGCGCCAAGTGGTCACCTCCGGGGCAGGCGGGAATTGAACTCATGCGGAAGTGGTTTTAGCTTCTCAGTGCTGTGCTTTAACCCGCTGCGCCACCAGGGAGGGCCAATATGTGTGTGTTTTTATATAGAAATATCAAAAGAGTGGGGAAATACTGACATTACTTCTGTAAAGGAAAGCCAGTTGGCCCTTGAACCACATGGGTTTGAGCTGTGTGGGTCGACTTATATGTGGACTTTTTTCTCTTCATGAGTCCTGCATTCTCTGATTCAGCTAACCACAGGTATTGATTGGTTGAACCTGAGGCTGTGGAACCCACAGATATGTAGGATGAAGAATGTGTAAAGGACTTTTGAGTGGTGTGGGGGTGTGCCTGGGGGAGCAGGAGTGGTTCTGAAGCTAATCCTGCATAGTACCAAGGGATGAGTGTAGTTAAGTTTTGGAGTCAAAAGTTTAAGTGGATTTAACTGTTCAGTGGTCAGTGCCCCTAACATCAGAGTTGTTCAGGAAGCAGCTGTATATTCTGACACAATACAGAGACCTCAATTCTCAGCAAAGACGGTAACAATAATAATAATAATAATAATAATAATAATAATAGGTACCACTTATTGAATATTTATTATGTGCTAGGTGCTATGCAAAATGTTTCACATAGTTTGTTGTGTTATTCTCCCTCCAAATCCTTTCCTTAGTATTCTGTAATTTCTTCATGGTGAAGCCTCCAGGAGTGAGCCATGTGCCTCTTTCCTTTCAGAAACCGCATCTTCATCTTCTTGCACCTCATCTTGCAAGGGATGATCTATACTGAATATACCTGGGAAATATTTGGTTACTGTCAAGAGCTGGAGTTCTCCTTGAATTACCTTATTCTGCCCTATATGCTGCTGGTTGTAAACCTGGCCTTTTTCACATTAACTTGTGTCAGCAACCCTGGTAAGTGGAGGCTCTTAGTATAAAGACTAGTGACAACTCAACTGGCATCCTTCCTGACAGTGCTGCAAACAATGCTGATTCTACTAAGGACTTTGCAAGGAATTGCTGTGTATATTCTCATCATCTTTTAGTTTGAGTGTTAAAACATTTGTATAGGAGTTTCTTGAGTTTGAGTTTTTTTTTTTTTTTGGCTTATGTTTTCACTTACTTGTGTTATGTATACAGCTTGTGGTGTGTATAACATTGTTTCTTTTGCATTATGCCTGATGTGTGGTCCATTTTTGTAAGTGATCTGTGTGTGCTTGAAAAAATTTACAAAATGAATTATTTAAAAATATCTATTAAGTGTGACAGTTTGGGTTGTGCTGTTGGTTGTGTTGTGTTGCTCAACTCTGATTTTTGTCCTTACTTATTTCAGGAACCATAACAAAGGCAAACGAATTACTGTTTCTCCAAGTGTATGCATTTGATGAAGTGATGTTCCCAGTGAACAGGAGCTGCCCCACTTGTGAACTAAGGAAACCAGCGCGGTCCAAGCACTGCAGTGAGTGAGCTCTGGCTGCTCCAGGTCACCCTTGCTCCTCAGGCACGTGGGCTTAGGTGGAGGGAGTGCTACAGCAGTCAAAAGGCAGGAGGGCTGATAATGGCTGTCGGATGACTGGAGGTGAGGGCAGCCCTCAGCCCTGGCATGCCACCCTTCATGGCCACACGGCAGGGCATGCTGCCCAAGAGTGTTTCAGCGGCATGTTGTGTTTGCCTGCCCTGAGTGGCCAAGATTCTAGATTAATGTTGTCCAGCAATAAAGACAGTATGAGACATGTATGTGGTTTTAATTTTTCTAGTAGCCACATTACAAAAATAAAAAGAAATAGGCAAAATTAATTTTAGTCATATTTTATTAAGCATACTAAAATAATATTTTAACGTAATCATTATAAAAAATCGTTTTGTGTGATAGTTTATGTTTTCTTTTTCAAGCTAAGTCTTTGAAATCTGGTATTTTTTTATATTTACAGTATAGCTCAATTAAAACACTTAATTGGAAATCCTTTTTTTAAAAGATTTGTTTTTATTTATTTTATGTATACAAGAACTGGGGTACAGGCCAGAGGTGCAGGGGGGTGAGAGAATTCACAGAGACAGAGTGGAGAGCAGAACAGGCGGATCAACTGCTGAGGGGAGCATCTGGCGGGACAGGAGAGGTCTGCTGCACCAAGTGGGTCACCTCCCTGGTCAGGGATTGAACTCATGCTGCAGTGGATGGTGACAGCTGAGACTTTAACCCCTGTGTCACCAGGGAGGCCTTCACTGAAAATCTTTAATTTGTATTTAGATTTCATAAAATTTACAGTGGAAAGAGTAGATTCACATACCTGAACTGTTGGGTTCTTAGAAGAAGTTTAACAATAACTGAATCAGATACCAAAATTCATTCTTTAATATCCACATCCACATTATCATAATTGTTCGTCTGTATTAGAACTGATTTGACTTTGAAGCAAAGATGTCTGTTTTAAAATTATTTCTGCCCAAGTTATGTAAATTCACCAACTCATGTGTCATGTCATTATTATTCATATTGAGTCAAAGGAGCATAGCATAAATTGAAAACAACTGGACACTTAACTATTAACTATTTTCTCAGATTTCGTTTGTAGCTACATTTCAAGTGCTCAATGCCTGCATGTGGCTAGTAGCTACTGTGTTGGGTACTGCAGTTCTCAAAACTTGATGACAGACGCTGCCAGTCCCAGCAGTCCATGCGTAGAGATCTCTTGGGTGTGCAGAGATCTCTGTGGGTGTGCCTGTTGTCATCGCCTCCGGAAGCATCAACCAAGGGTTGTAACTCCTCATTTCTGTGCAGGCGTGTGTGACCGCTGTGTGCACCGATTTGACCATCACTGCATTTGGGTGAACAACTGTATTGGAGCCTGGAATGCGAGGTATTTCCTTATCTACCTCATGACTCTGACGGCCTCAGCTGCCTCCATAGCCGCTGTGAGCACTGTGTTTCTGGTGCACTTGGTGGTAGTGTCGGATTTGTACTCAAAGACTTACATTGATGACCTGGGACGCGCCCAAGTTATTGACTTCGCCTTTCTTATTCAGGTAATGAGTTATTCAGGCAGGTGTCTGTGACCTGTATGACTTCAGGTTTCCAAACTGAAATAAGGACATTTGTTTTCTCAGGAAGAATATGAAATTATTCCTTTTTAAAAATTAATATATAATTTAAAAATTAATGTATAATTCACATGATAAAATTCACCCTTTTAAAATTTATGATTTGTGGTTTTGGTATGTGATACAGTCATTACCACCTTCAGGGTATCTCATCACCCCCAAAAAGAAGCTTATACCTACTAGCAATATTCCCCACTCCCTTCTCCAGATCCTGTCAGCCACTAATCCACTACTGTTGTACATTCCCACCAGCAGAGTGTGAAGGCTCCAGAGCTCCAATTTCTTTTTTATTTTATTTTATTTTGGCATAGAAGAACTGGATGTAGGCCAGAGGTGTGGGGTGGGGGTGGTTGTCAGAGGATTCACCAGAGACAGAATGGGCTGCAAAACAGGCAGATCTACTGTTATGAAATGCACAGCTGAGGGGAGCAGCAGGCGTGACAGGAGAGATGTGCTGGGCCATGTGGGTCACTCCCTGGCCAGGATCAAACTTAGGCTGCAGCCGTGATAGTGCCGAGACTTAATCCGTAGGCCACCAGGGAGGCCCCCTTGGCTCATTTTCTCTGCATGACTTCATTAGCACTTTAAGTCCTTGTGATCATACTAATGGTAGAAAGTTGTGACCTCACTATGGTTTGCTTTGGATTGCCCGCTTTTCACATGTTTGTTGGCTACCTGTGTATCTTTTTGGAGAAGGTTTAGAGAAGGGTTTAAGTTGGGTTAGTTGTTGGGTTAGTTGTCTTTTGTTCTTGTGCTTTTTATTTATTTTGGACACTTGAACCTTGTTAACATATAATTTGCAAATATTTTCTTCTATTCTGTGGGCTGTCTTTTCACTTTTTTGATAGTTTTCTCTAAAACATGGATGTTTTTACTTTTGATGCTTGATTTCATTTTTCTTTTGTTGTTTATGCTTTGGTATTACAGCTAAGATACCACTGCCAAGATCATAAAGATTTACACTTATGTTTTCTTCTAAGTTCCTTTCATAGTTCTAATTCTTATATTTAGGTTCATGATCCACTTTTTGTTGATTTTTGTATATGGTGTGAGAGAGGGTTCCAATTTTATTTTTGGTATGTGGATATCCAGTTGTCCCAGCACCTTTTGTTGAAAAGACTGTTCTTTTCTTGTGTTGGGACCCTTGTTGAAAATTAGTTGACCAAAATATAGGATTGAAGTTATTCTTTTGAAAACTCATTTGATTGCTAAAAGAAGTCTTTTTCTTTTATGTGAAACAATGTGTGACCATTTTTTTAGGCTGCCTAAATTACCTAGAATGTTTTGCTTTGTTAACAAAGAAAATAAAATGCCGTGAGCAAGTGAGATGTATTTCATGAATTTCAGGTAGGTTCAGTATTAGTAAATTAACTAATAGTTCAAGCCATATTGTTAAATATATGGAAAAATGACATGGTTATTTCTCTAGATTCTAAAAAGACTCACAAAATTCATCTCCATTCCATGATAAAAACAATCAAAAGTAGGAATTGAATGTATTATCTCAAGATGATAAAGTACACGCACACACATACACATGCACGCACACACACACCTTAAAGCCAGTGCCTCTTGTAAAACTCTTTATTTTTACTAGTAATGAATTTGTTGTGTACTGGAGATTACAAAGAAATGCATAGGAATCCCATGTATCCATGGGCCTTTCCTTGCCATGCCAGCATCCTGTCCAACCACAGCACAATGCCAAAACCAGGGAACTTTGGCATAGGCCAGAGAGCTGATTCAGAGTTTACCAGTTACATACATGTTTGTGTGTGTGGATAGCGCTGTGCAGTCTGTCACATGTGTAGCCTTGCAAAACCTCCGCTACACTCAGTGTGCTCTGTTGTCCGTTACCATATGCCTACCTCTTCCCTGCATCCCTAATGCCTGGCCACCCTGACCTATTCTCCATCTCTGTCATGATGTTCTGTTATAATTATTACATAAATGGAATCACAGTCCATATGTTTTTTAAAAAAGATTTATTTATTTATGCACACAGAACTGGGGTATAGGCCAGAGGTGCAGGGATGGTGAGAGGATTCATCAGAGACCAAGTGGGGAGCAGAACATGCAGTTCGACAAAGGACACTGCTGAGGGGAGCAGCGGGTGGGTCTGCTGCACCATGTGGGTCACCTCTGGGGCTGGGGATTGAACTCACACTGAAGCAGCTGCAGCTAGCTTACAGTGCTGTGCCCTAACCTGTTGCGCCACCAGGGAAGGCCAGTCTGTGTGTTTTTGAGGTTTTTTTTCCACTCAGCATAGTTTCCTTGAGATCTGTCCAAGTTGTTGCATGAACCAGTTCATTTGTCTGGTTGCTGATCCATGATGTGGATGGTCCGCAGTGGGTTTGACCGCTTACCTGTTGAAGAGCATTTGGGTAGTTTCCAGTTTTGGGATATTACAAATGAAGCTACCATGAGATTTCATTTACACGTTCCTGTATGGGACTAAGTCTTCAATCTGGTTGTTCAGTTGTATGATAGTTTCATTTAGGTTCTGTGTAGGATTGCTGTATTATTTTCCAGAGCATTTGTGCCATTTTATATTCCCCACTAGTGCTGTGGAGTGACAAGTTTTTTTTTCATTCTTCCCAGCTTTTAATGTAACCACAATTTCACAATAAGTATGTAGTGAGAACTTGTTACGTTAACCTTGAGTGGTTTTTAAGTTCTCCAATTATGAAATTGGAGAAATTCAAATATACCAAAAAGTTAAAAGTCTAACAGAGTGATTACCCATAAACCTGCCACTTAGATTTAAAACTTGTTAATAATAAATCTTTAAAAAAATAAAATGAAATACAACTGTTTTTATTTTCATCTGTTTTCCTTATATGTATATATAATTTTCATTATTATTAGAAATAAGTTGGAGGCGGGCCCTCCCTTGTGGCGCAGCGGGTTGGAGCGCTGCACTGTCAACCTAAGCCAAGCTGTGGCTGCGTCAGTGTGAGTTTGATCCCTGCCCCAACATGATCCACGGGGCATGGCAGACCTCTGCTGTCTCACCCGCTGCTCCCCTCAGCAGTGTCCTTTGTCAGTCTTTGTCAATCTGCCTGCCCACTCTATCTCTGGTGAAGCTGCTCACTGCCCCTGCACCTCTGACCTGTACCCCAGTTCTGTATGCATAAATAAATAACTTTAAAAAAGAAAAAAGTTGCATCTTGTTGCTTCACCCCTTAATATTATGAGTGTGTATCTTTTAAGAGCTTTGCTGTTCTCATACTCAAGCACAATTCTATTTTCCTGCTTAAAAACACAACAATAAATCTGGGTCCATATTTAAATTTCTCCACCATTCCAAATATACAGCTCTGTTTGTTCCTTGAACTAGAATCTGCTTTATAATTAATATATTACATTTGAATATTAGGACTTTTTAGTGTAAAAAACTTAAATCTAAAATAATACTCCACTTTTTTTTTTATAACACTGACATTCTAGTTGTCTTTCAGAATGTCTCATGTTCTAGGTTTGTCTTTTAATTATGTCACCTAATTTTTTTTTTTACTCCTTTACATTAATGTAAACTAGAATTTAAATCTAGAGATGATTAGATTCAGGTTATATGTCTTTGGTAAAATGTTCCTTATTAGGCAGTGATGTGTATTACTGTGCCCCGCCAGGTGGAGCCAGGGCCAGGGAAGCCCAGGTTGATACACCAGTTAATCTGATCAGTGTGGGAAGGAAAGAAATGACCAGAGCATTTTGCTTTTATATCCTTTCTTTAGACAAGGAAGAACTGAGAAGGAAAAAAGTTTGGGTTTGTGGATGAGTCATTCTTTAGAATTATAGTCTAGAATGAACAGTCTGTGTATGCAGCCCTACACTCCCTGTCTCTGAGAGTAAGGCTGCTTTCTGCCCTTCATTTCTGGGGTGGGGGGGTATTTTTTCATATGGGAATCCACCTCTTGCTTGCAAGGACAAAGATGTTTTACAGTGTGCTTTTTTACAAGGTTATTTCTTAAATAACTTGAGTTCAAAGTAAATATGCCAAGGTGACCCATTTGGGGGCAGCCTCCTCTGAACCCCATCATGACCACCAGCTCTCTCCCTTGGTAAAATGCATTTTCCCTTGGCAGTGGGTAATCTATACATGTGGTTTTGTTTATACTTAGGACTGTTTAGATAGGTCCCAAAAATAGAACTGTTGGGTGAAAGATTAACATTTATGTCATTTGATATTAATATATAGTATCAAGTTGCTTCTTAAGCCTTGTACTTAGAGGAATAAGCCAGTGTTTGTTTTACTGCATCAGAGCTGGTACCGCTGCTTCCAGGGTTGGGAGGTGCTTCTAATTTGATTGGAAAATATGACATATCCTTTTAAAAGATTGTGTTTCTTTCATTACTTGTGGCTACCTTCCTTGCAGATGTTGATCAGTGATTTGTATATCTTTTGTGGATCGCATCCTCTGTTTACTTATTGATAATAACTTGTGATCTGAAGTCTTTATAGAGTCAGTAGTGTTTCATTCTGATATTTTTCTGTTTGCGTCTCTTTTGATACTCTTTATCAAATCTCTTCAGTTAGAAAATTTCCTTCAAGAGGGAGATAAATGTCTTCTAACATCTGACTTTCTCCTGACTTTCAAAAATATTGAACTCTATCTAAAATTTTCATTTTGTAAACAAAAATAAATTACATAAAAAATCTTTAAAAATTCAAGCAGTCTAGAAGTATTCAAAGTGAAAAATGGGGCTCGGGCAGCAGGGGGAATGAGTGAAACTGGTCTGAGGGAACAAACTTCCAGTTGGATGCCAAATGGTGACTATAGTTACACAGCACTATTCTGTATATTTGTAAGTGGCTAAGAGAATCGATCTTAAATGCATCACCACCAAATTAAAATTGTGTGAGGTGATGGATACGTTAGCTTTCTTGTGATCATTTCAAAATATGTCAAATGATTACATTATATACCTTAAAATTTCACAATGTTATATGTCAGTTATGTCTCAATAATGCTCAAGGTTTAGAACATCTTGAAAAAAGTAAAGTGAAAACTGGGAGTTAAACCCTTCCTTTCCCAACATGCTCCTCCCCCAAGGCAACCACTTTTGTAATTTGGTGTTATCTCACCAGGCTTTTTTCCTTGTTTTACTTAAATGGCTGTGTACCTTTACAAAAGCAGCTTTGTTTTGTTTTTACACAAATAGGATCCCATTAGGATCCTTGCTTCTTGTCTTTCTCTTTTTCCAAATTGGTACAGAGAAACTGACCTCTAACTCCTTATTACCCCATAATATGGTGTGGAAAGACATTTAACTTGTTCCTTGGGGAAGGGGTGGTTGAAACCAGCCCTATAGTGAAAACCCTTAACATCTATATCTGTGGTTATAGTATTTTAAAAGGGAAATTGAGCTTTTCTATTCATCAGGGACTTAATTTTGATGCATGCATGAGCTAGGGCCTATGTTTATTTTTTCCTGAATATCCTTCCCCTGTCCTCCCTCATACACACTTCATTTATGCCGAATTAGACCCTTGTACATATCAGAGTTTCTTGTTGGTGGTGCTGTATATGGTTGGGTCAGTGGGTCAGTGTGTGAGTCAGGTGTGTATGGAGGTGGGCAAGTTGCAGTAGTAGCTCTGATGTGTTTATGCACAGGAAGGCCTGGTGTGTGCTGATGCTCATCCGCGTCACAGCCCGCTAACTAATGTACTGTTTCTTTTGTCTCCAGTACCTGTTCCTGACCTTTCCAAGGATTGTCTTCATGTTGGGCTTTGTCATAATACTCAGCTTCCTCCTGGGGGGCTACCTGTGCTTTTCTTTGTACTTGGCTGCCACCAACCAGACCACTAATGAGTGGTGCAGAGGTCAGACCTGGCCCCCACCAGCAAAGTCACATGTCTACCGGAACATTTACTCCCATGGATTTTGGAGCAACCTTGGAGAGATCTTTCTACCTGCTACAGCATATTATGATAGGAAGAAGAAATAAGAATGGAAAGAGTATTACTGCCTTTTAAATGTTGTATACATTTATTTATACATGTGGATATTTTCTAAGCATTTGTTTTATTTAGTTTTTCTGGGCTTCGTTGTGTGTTTATGAATTGGCCTCCAGGGGTTAAGGATGGGAGAGGGAAAATTTGATGGGTATGGGGCCAGCTTTTGTGGTAGAAATCCCCCTTGCCCATCTTCAGCACATTGGAAACGAGTGTTTCTGAATTCCTGATGCCTGTGAGATCACAGAGGACGCCTTAGTTGCTTCCCACCACTTCTCTCTCTCTGGACTAGGCTTCTCCACACCGGTAACCTATGGCTGTCCCTTGATGTGCAGGAGAGTATCACTACTCACACCTGTGCCTGGCTGCACCCTCTCCGATGCCCTTCCCTCCTCTCTGTCCCATCTCTCCCAGGGAATCCCTTGACTTATTTTTCATCTCCTTAATCATAATCAGCATCCTTACCCTGACTGGCTCTTGGCTGACAAAGTACATTTCTCTAACTGTGGCCTCCTCCCTGCCTGCCACTGGCCTCTTAGGGTCAAATTCAAGCTTTTTCTGGCATGTTTAAAAATTCTAAAACTATACTCCCTCAACCAGGCCTTCCCCTCCCCAACCCCAGCTAATTCCCTGTAGAGATGAGTGCCAAAGACACTCATAGCAGGTGCTGAGGACTTCCAGCAGGCTAGGCGACATGGGGGGACTGGGAACTAGGGACCCTAGGAACAGGAATAGGTGGGTAGACATGTATTGCAGTATATGAGTGCAGCACAGATGTAATCTATTTGATGAATTGTGGGGCCTAACTCAGGGCCCAGCACCAACCTTTCCACTGGTAGAAAAACAAGGTGAAATCAAATAGTGGAGACTTTTAACACTACACGAAGGAAGCCGGGAGAACTCAAGAGTCCTGCGGGAGGTGGGGGCGCACACCACCCACTGAGCGCTCACAGGTGGGTTTGGCACCCCTGGGCGCTCAGGTCCGG